TAAAACATATTTTATGATAGAAAATATATTTTCTTAAGTGATTGAGTGCAACAAGATTATTAAATTTATAAGAAAGAACTGAGATAAAGATTATTATTTCAAAAAACATTTCCTAAGAAAATATTTTTTTAATGTTTCGAGAGAAATCTTTAAACTTAAAATAGTTATTAGAATAATTTAAAATGTAATTTAAAGTCTATTCCTCTGAAGATAACGATTATATTAATATCGAGTTTTATAATACACGATTTAATCGGAATGTATAGAAATTCAATGGAGAAAATTTTATGCATGTTTGTAGAGAGAATTAATATGAATTTGTATCCTTGTGATATGCACTCAAAATATCATTCCTTGAACTATTTATAAGGTAAAAAATGCATTAAAACTGTCACTTTAAAGTTATATATATATATTCAACATTTCTTAGCAAGACATATCGAAATTAGTTACGCTAAATAATACAGAAATAAAGGTAAGCTCTCATTAATCTAACATAATTTCATATTGAATTCGACACGAATATGTCTGACACAGAATTCCATTTTTAAATTGGCAAAGAGAAGATGTTTACATATGGAAAAATAACCCACGTGTGAAAACATTTTCATCTTTGGCAATCGCTCTAATTCCGAGTCAACCCACTTATCCTTCGTCAATTTCTCTTTCAATGTAACATGCCAATGTCATTTTAGAATATTATATTATGTCTAAATATGTTTCATAATATTATTTTGCAATATATTAGATAAATATGCGCAGAATTAAATTAAAACATTTATTTCTTGTTCAAAACTTAAATTATTCTCTAATTTTTCTGTATTAACTGGAATTTTAACAAGCATATAATAATAAGATTCTATCCATGTTGACTTTTCAACATTAATTTTTAATTAAATATCAGTAATATATGCTCCTAAAATTTCAGTGTAACAGTTTTATTTAAATTCCATAGCAAACCTTCCAAAATCTGTTTAATAAATACATAGTGATCGTTCATTAAAATATTAAGATTCTTCGATAGCTCATTAGCAATAATAGATTTGGGATAAAATAAGGTTAATCTATCAGTTTTTATGTTATTTTATGTACTCATTTGTCAATCTGTTTAAGAGGAAAATTAGAAATTTATTTAAAGATAAAAAAACGTNTAATACAATCATAAAATATCATTTAAGAAAATAAGATTTAACAGAATTTAATTAAAAATCAATATTTCTGTTTTAATGTCATAAACGTTTAAGTATATTAAAAATCAATTTCTTCTAAATACGTTTAATACAAAAGTTTATCATCATTAATAATAACTTAAAGTATAAAATTTCATATTAATGTTAATAATTTTATATTTTAATTCAATTATTTATATACTGTATATCATTTTTAAAATTTAATTTAATATAATTAATAAACTAAAGATATATTCGTTAAATGATTATGGTCTATCAGGATTCTCATGTTAAATGGAAGGTAATTTAAAATTTAATAAGACATTTAATTAAATAGAATTTTTTAGAAATTAAATTGAAATTTAATATTTTGAATTTAATTTTATTTATTTTCTATAATGTAATAAAAATAATAATGTCTGAATTAAATTTAAAATTTTAATTTTAGATGAGTGCATCTGATCTTTTTAAAATTTATTTTATTTTTTCAATTAATTTATTTAAAAATTTTAATTTAATTGAATCAACAGAGTCAAGTGTTGTATCGAGAATTAACTATTTTAAAACATTGTTCTTATCGTTATAATTGTATAATTTTATTATTATTTTAAATTTATTTAATTAAAAATGATTGACATTTTTACTGGAAGATTATTTAATTAGAAAATATTGTCTACTTAATGAGTTAACAAAAAATATTTTCAAAATGAAATTTAATATTTTTTAAAGATATTTTTAAGTGCTTCCTTAAATAAGTTCATATTTAAAGAAAGAAAAAAAAATAAGATATAATTTATGAACGGTTGTTATTATTTTACAAATGCAAGTTATTTTTAATAAAACGTTATTAATTTTTTAAATTTAAAACGATCTAACATTTCTTATAAAAAAATTAAATGTTAACGTTAAGTTTTCTCTTGGTATTTTACATTAGAAATTGGTTGAGGTAACACACATTTGCATATGTATTTGTTGAATTAATTTTAGTAAAATGTTTTGTAAGTTCGAATTTCCTGCACTTTGAAAACATTAAAATATTTTAATTTAAAATTAAAAATATATAAATTTAAAAATTTCAATATTTTATATGTAAAAAATGTAATGGTGTAAGAATTTTCTAATTTATCTTTTAGACTGTAAACTGGTTGATACAACACAATCTGCACATTTATTTGTTGAACTAATTTTAGTAAGATGTTTTCTGAGCTCGAGGATTGTATTTTCCTGTAAAACATTAAAAGCTTTTTAATTTACGTAATAATTTCGATAAAGTTTATACAATCTCCAATGATTTTCTAATTGAAGGATTGTGTTTGAATACGAGAATAATGGATTAATTAATCACAGTCATGAAGAACGAGAAAGTATTAAATTTAACTCTTACTGGCTGAGAGCCAAATGTCGATTATTTCCATTTGGCATGATATTTGACATAGATACTGGCAAATCTAATCGATAGGTCTCTTCGAAAAAAATCATTTTTATATCCTCTAAAACAATTTCATTACTTATTTTGATATCTGTAGATAATTCTTTATCTTTTCCATTGTTCCAATTTATGTAAGCAATTATTTTAAGTATTACCATAACTATTCTATTTATATTTTCTACTTATTATATACAGTATATAAAAATGGTTTAATTAATAATTAAATTTTGGATGCGTAAATCTATTATTTAACATTATTATTGGATATTGGTTCGATAATAGAATTAGTTATAGTGAATTTTTTTAATAATCATTATTTTGTTATCGGTATAATAATATTATTATTATATTAAAACATATTTTATGATAGTAATAAATACAGAAAGCAGTTGGAAATTGTAAATAAGTTATTTACACTTTAATATCTGATATTGGATATTCTTATTTTTGGAAAATTCAGTTGGCAAATTTCCATGGATTTCCATTCGATTCATGCAGTAAATAATTTTAAATTTGATCTTCAATAAAATTCCATTTAAATCAAATTGTCGTCTTATCGTTTGTTTGATTTTCTGAATACGGAAATTTTAATGCGCCCCAATCTAATATAAATCGAAATCAACGGATTCAATATTTATTTTTCATAAATATTTATTTTATTTTTAATTTTCAATATTATATGAGAAATGCTTATTTTATTTAGCTTAAATATTCCTTCAAAAATTTTATCAATAAATATTTTTAGTACTTATTGTTGTTTCGATTTATATAACAAAATTTATTACTTACATTAATATTGATCCAAATAATACAATAAATATAGTAGATAAATAACTTTCATTAAATTACTTATTATGACATTGAGCATTAATATTTGTTTAATTCAGCAAATTATTGAATTAATCATTTCTAGAAAATTGATTCTTAATTAAAAATATATTCAAAATTCAATTTACTTATTTACGATTTAATTTTAGGTGGATTGGACTGATTTAGAACCGTATAGACCTGTCACCATCATCCTCACACCATCAATTTATCCGTCCAGTTTGTAGAGATCCAACCCGGCTTTCATAAGGGAGCATCAAAAGTAACCTAACTAAATAGGACTCAGCCATTCCATGAAGAGGATTCGTCCTCTGCATAAAACCCTCAAAAAAATACGAACCAATCCACTAAAAATAAAAAGTCGCTTTTAAATGGAAGAGGAATTTTTCTACATATTTCTTAACACTTTTACTCTGACCTTTGAAATTACCTTCAAAACAGACTAATCTCTTAAGGAATATTTTAAGAAAAGCAATTAATTGTAAAGATACAGTTTAAGAAACAATACTGTATTGTGTTTTTCTCTTTTGTCGGGTGTCATTTAAAATAAGGCAAATAACTTTCCGAATAAATATTTATCTAGTTCGGTTTCTTTGTCTTTTATTTCTATTATTTAAATAACTTTACATTCTATTTTATTTTTTCAATTTAAAATATAATAAAATAGTGTTTTTTTAAACTTAATACAAAATAATCTTAATATTATTTATATTTTAAAATTATAATTTGAAGTAATATTTAAAAAGAAAACAAGATGTTTTATTTATAATACAGCTATTGTTTTTCTAGCATTCATATTTATGAAATTTTATTGGAAAAATTCTTTATTTGTCGGTTACTCCCTCAATTCGATGCTAAGTAAAAAATTAAATATTTTAATTTTTTATTTTAAATTTTATTGATTCAAACTAAATTTTGCCAATAAAAATTATAGGCAATTAACTCTGTAGACTAAAAACATTAGAGAATTTTTCTAAGATGATAAAAAAGAAATCGCAGCAATTTCATAAAGACAAAAGAAATAAATGTTAGAGTTATGGCTTTATTTTTTAGCTTACGTGGCTTATATACATTTTATTATGTATAAAATTTATAAGGCAACTATTACAAATCAATGGAAAATTTTACTGAAGAAAATCGATTTTCATCAATCGCCGCGTTATCAAATTGCTAATTCAACTATCTGGATTATATTTAACATTTAAAACTTAAAAATATTATTATAATTGCAATTTAAATGATATTTGATGCTAGTATTATAGACAAATTCTGTTATAAAATTTAAGAAATGAAAATTAATTATTAATTAGTGCTTTCACAGATTGTGCAACCAGATACGACCTATTGATCGTAGTAAAGCTAAAAGATAACTATAAAGACAAATTATATCCGGTTTTAGCGATCAAATATGGAATATATATTAGTATGATGAAAAAATATTCACATCTTTCATAAAATTGATAGAGTTTAAGAGTATACGATACTACTATGTCGGGGAGAAAAAATATACTTTTCTTAAAGTAATATGGCGATTTACAGCTATGAAACTGAAATTCAAAGAATGAAATTTAAGAAATCTGGATGATTAAGTTCGGTGTTGCACCACACCTGCAACGTAGGGTCCTCAGATATGGCGCCAAATTTAAATTTCGATATTCCTACTACAATAATGCGTTTATAAAAGATTGGTTTGGGGCTCCATGTTGGTGGGGCCCCAGGCAATTGCCCTTTTAGCCAGTAGGATAACGGGCCACTGCTTAAATATTAACTTAAAGCAAACAAGATACAGTTAATAAAATTTTTGAGATCTGTTGCATTGATTTTACTTAAGTATAAAATAGTAAATTTTATCTGTAACTATTCTTTCGGTGTTAAAATATCCAGTTTTGCATCAGTTTTATTTAAAGAAAATAGATAAATATCGAGAAAAGCTAAATATCTATAAAATAGATTTAAATAGTCTACATATATAAATCTATATTTAAAACGTATTCAGTCACAATAAGTGAAAATTAAGTGGCAATTTCCTCTTAAAACTAAAGGAAAACTGATAGCAAAAATAATTTAAAAAGTCTTTATAGTATCAGAAAAAATAAAGACAATGCTCGTCAATAGTTGTTTTCTAACAGGCCGGATGGCCGAGGCGGTTAAGACATGAACCCATCGTTCTGGGAGTCCTAGAATCGAATCCAGACAGGCGAGGAATTTTTCGTGGGCGGTTCGTTAGAATATGCTGGGCTCCGTTTTTCATCATCAGGCTTCCCGCATTATGGGCTTAGCCGAACTCACGATGGGCGTATAAAAAGGCCCTTTTACAGTCCGCGCTCGCCAGTATAGATAACACTACTAAACTTGAAACAAGTTTGTCGCGGATTGGCTCCTCGCTAAGTTCCGGCTATGTGGAATTTTCCGGATTTACTTTACGAGTCTAACATCATAAATGGGACCAATTTTGTATAGAAAGTCCTCCGGGGAGACACTCATCCTTTGGCAAAAAACGTTCATATGTTGCATTGTCTTATCCAATCTTAAAGTTTACAGAGCGAATAATATTAAACATTGCATTTCCTAACTCGTCGCATGCTAGTAGATGCTTAAACTATCGTACTCATTGTTCGTATGCCGGGTTAAGGAATTTAAACAGAAATGTTAATAAATATTTTACTACAAGACACCCATTCAAGAATGACGTTAATAGCATAATTTATCAGTATACGAGGTGTGTTCAAAAAGTATCGGACCTTTGGTCCGCAAAAATAAATTTATTGATTTTGTTGTATAAAACCCTAATCCCCTTCAAAGTAGTCTCCTTGGTAATGTATACACTTCTCCCAGTGTTCCTGCCATTGCTGGAAACACTGCTGGAACGCATCTTTTGGAATGGCCATCAGCCGGTCCGTCGGATTTTGCACGATGTCTTCTCTCGACTAAATTCGGGTTCCTTTTAGCGGCATTTTCAGCTTGGGAAATAGCCAAAAGTCACATGGAGCCATGTCGGGAGAGTATGGAGCGTGACGAACCACAGGAATGTTATGTTTGGCGACGAAAGCCCGAATCAGATGCGCAGAATGGTATCACGACGGAGCTGCCAAGTTTTGATCGACCACAGATCAGGTCGTTTGCGTTGCACAGCATCGGAAAGACGACGAAGGACCTCCTGGTAGTACTCCTTTGCGATGGTTTGGCCTTGTGGTGCGTACTCACGACACACTACCCCACGAGAGTCGAAAAAACTGTCAACATGACCTTTGATATTGCTGCGGACCTGCCGCGCTTTTTTTGGCCTCGAGGATCGTCCCCGAAAGCCTGCTGAATCTTGCGAATTGTTTACGCTTGGGTATCGCCAAGGTTTTTGGCAAAATTTGATGTAATATCGCTGCTCACGTTGTTCAGTCATTTTCCAGCTTAGTGGAATCCGACGAGAGCGCACTACATGACCTCACTCATACGCCGATTGCCAACGAATAACGCTTCCTTCAGGCGGGAAAAAATTCAGGGCTGTGCATGACTGTCCCCTCCACAACTCCACCGAAGGAAGCCTCTCGCGCATCATTGGTTTACGCGGAAAAAGAAGGTCCGATACTTTTTGAACAGACTTTGTATTCCAAAATTATACTGCATAACTCTGCTGACGCCAGTGTGACTTCAATAAGAATTTTATTATAACAAATAAAATATTTCTTTAAACATGTTCACTGAAAATGTTTAATAAGTGCTCATTGTATATTAATTAAACTTCCCGTCCATTGTTACACATTTGGAATTCCAACTAACTTTCAGCAGCCTCTCGATAATCCGAATTTCCTTAACTCGAAATTCTTGCTAACTGGAAATTTTGTCTCGACATAACTCCCGCAGACTCAAAAACTTATAGAAATACAGAATACATTAAGTAGTTTTGAGATCACACTTTTCTAACTCAAAATTCAAGGTAAGAGACAATGAAGGAAAGAAAAACAAAATCACAAATCGCGAAAGAATTTGACATTTCATTAAATAGGCTACTTTCTCTACATACCTGAAAAACAGAGGAAGTTTTTGAAGTTTCAATGAACAACAGAATCAGTAGAACAGAAAAAGTGTAAGCTTTTTCTGTTCTACTGATTCTGTCTGGATGCTAAAAAGTGAGTGCTGAAGTGTTTTGAACAGTAAAGAGACGAAAATATTCTTGTTAATGGAAAATTTCTTATTCATTAAAAACTCTTTAAAAACGTCCATGTTTCCACAATGCTAACTCCACGATCTTTAACTATATAATATGAAGCAAATAAGGCTACGGTTACTATGGATGCGAATTCTGATGAAATTTAGTTCAGACGAGTATGTCCGAAATCCTCGTCAGAACAAGGTGGTTACACTATGCACGTTTTCTGATAGTCAGTACGTTTCTGCCTCCCAGCAAAATGGACGAATTTGATGAGTTTTATTTTTCTTGAAAGCCCGTTGATTAAGTTATTGTTGATAGGTGGTGGGAAAACAGAGCATGTTAACCACTTATTTTCCGCAAGAGACGATAAGGGAGAGGTTCCAAATGTTATATCAAATGTTATATCAAATGTTATATCAAATGTTATATTGTGGGACAATCCATAAAAGTTTTTCGAGTATTTCAGAATGAGACCAAAATGAGAAATATCTCTGTTGTGATAGTTTTTGTCTTTCATGTCCCACAAACACCTATTCTCGAACACAAGACTAATCAATTTCTCAATATCCATGTTGAAAAATCCAAAACACTCGAAATTCAACGTCAGAACGCACGAAAAAATTAAATTCGTTTGAACGCAGGAATGGTTCTGACTACTTCGTGCATGTTCTGACATGCCCTTCGCTGCCAAAGTAAACACTCTCATTGGAAAACGTATTTGTTTCTTCGGACGAATTCGTCAGAACAAAATTTCGTCAGAATTCGTATCCATAGTAACCGTAGCCTAAGAAAGCATGGATGACTTCCGACAGTTAGAAAAAGTTCTGAAAAGATTAAATATCTTCATGATTTCCGTAAACAAGATTATTTTCATCGATAATTTCAGTGAAATGTGCATATTACATGATTCGCACTCCGAAAGCTACAATAGGTAAATTTTTACCACTAAATAAATTGCAACGTTTAAATCAAGGAATAATTCAAATCTTAAAATTACGATACCAAAATATTACCGTACGAAAGATGCGTGTTATTGAAGTTGGAGTGAATCAGAAAATTATTACAAAGCATGAAATGAAGTTACCCAGAGTAATGGGTTCGGCCAGGTCCAAATGGTGCAGGTAATGAAAGACGGACCACCCTCTCTTTTTTTTTTTTTTTTTTTTTAACTCTTTCCGCCCTGTGAGCACTAAGATGGCCTATTTCTCCAAGCTCATTGTGGGTTCGGCCAGGCCTACAATGGGGCAACCGGGTGGTGAGAGACGGGACCCGACATATCCGAACAGACCACCCTCAGAAAAAGTTATGGGATATTTTTTACTCGACCGGATTCGTTCTCTGGTCCTCCGGCGTTTACCATTTTGAGGGCCGATGTCGGTAAGCTGACACCTGAACCATTCGATCATACAGTCATCACATTGTTTCATTGTAATATTTATGATC